CAGTCCTGAAAATGTTGTTTGTTACACTATGATTCTTTAGTCTGCTGTTGAGCTTCCTATTAACTCTTAACTGAGATTTTGTTCTTTCTCTTTGTAGGCAATGACTTTTAACCAGGTGATTCAGACAGGGCCAGATGAAGAAGGCAGTGATGATAAAGCAGTAACAGCAATGGGCATCTTGAATACCATTGATACGCTCCTCAGTGTTGTTGAAGATCACAAAGAGGTAAGAAATTTATTTTGCTTGTGTCCAGGAAAAGCTGCAAAATAGCCTTGTTTTAAGAGGGTTGGTAGGGAGCCAGCATCAGTATTTAAATTCTGTGAACCTATTTTTATTGAAAATAAGTTGCTGTTTTGTTGTTAACCTTTGTTAAACTGTAAAAACAAACTCTAATCCTGACTGAGTTTTACAAAACTGCTTTGCACTTTTATACAAATTATTTTTGAAGAAAGATAGAGGTCACAAGACAAACACCTGCTATTCTAAGTACCTCAGCGCTTTGCAGATTCCAGAGGGAATCAATACTTAGTAGAATTCATTTTTGTGAGAAACTATGTGTGAGCCTGCTGTGCTTTAAAAATAGACCCAAAGTTAAAAACCTGACCTGTATTTATGATATGAAACAAGTATATTTTCATACCTTTCTTAATATGATTCTGCTCCTAGCAGTGGTGAAAGGCTGAAAGCTTTTAAGGCAGAGATGGGGAACTTCAACTCCCTGAACACTGGCCATGCTGGCTGGGGCTGCTGATGAGAGTTGTAATCCAACATCAGGAGGGTCATAGGGTCCTGATCCCTGCTGGGAACAGTGACTTTGATGTCATCCATAGAGCAGATAACAATACTTCATAGCCCTCTCTCTGGTTCATGGGATTTCATAAGAATACAAGAGAGCCTTGCTGGATCAAAACTGATCTGTATAGTCTAGGCAGCCAAATGCCTTCAAGAAGCATAGAATCACAGCAAAAAGCATTTGTATGTCCCCAGTATCTGGTGTTCAGGGGTACCATGCTCTGAAAATGAAGGTTCCGTTGAACTTCCTATTCTTTTAGATCGGAGCAGTCCAACTTTTCCTACCAAGTGGGCTGCAAGGGTACTTCAACATGGAACCCATGGGACGCACATTGCCCTGTTGGCCATGGGGGCGGAGAGAGAGGTCAAAATTTGACACACAAACCCAGTCCTCTTGCTACCTTCCCAAAAGTGGCTAAGTGAGTCACTGGGCTTTAGGAAGGAGGTGCAAGGCTCTGGCAGGGTCCTAGAGCCCTCCTACCTCCTTCCCAAAGTAGTGAAAGGACTAACTAGGCTTTGGGAAGGAGGTGGGAGGACTCTAGGACCTCGTTAGAGCCCTCAGTCCTCCTTCCCAAAGCCCAGTGCCTTGCTTGCCTGGCTTTAGGAAGGCAGCATGAAGGCTGCGACAGGGTGTGTGTGCCATTGTTGCTGAGGGCCACCAAAAAGGCCTCAAGGGCCGCATGCACCCCTTGGGCCATGTGTTGGACTGCCCTGTTTTAGTTAGTTACTGATCTGTAAGAGGACCCATCTTTGAATCCTATGACTGATAATTTTACTCAGAAAACTAGCTTCTTATATGTAAAAATAGCAAAGGGAGCTTTGTTAAGCTTGTTACCTGTGCTTTAGTGCTGGTGGGCAGTCTTATTTTTTTGTCTTCCTTGTTCCTTCTCCTTTGCATTTTATCTTAATGATTTGTTACTGAAGCTTCCTCACAAACTATCCCTATAATTAATTAATTAATTAATTAATTAATTAATTAATTCATCCATCCATTCATCCATCCAGCTCCCTCCATCCTTATTGTAGCTAATTAGGATATGACCCCAGGTTCAGAAAGGGGTTCCTGGCTAGCTTGCAGCTCCAAAGTTATTCAGCCGTGCCAGATGACACAGCAGGTATGAACAAGACAGGAGTACAATTAAGAGCCGATTTAAAGACTGACTTTGCAGAATTTCTATCATGCTGTTCCAACTCCAAAGAAAAGCTCCAGGCAGTTCATATCAACATAAAAACAAAGCTGTGAAAATAAACCAGAAAGCTAGATATATAAAAAGCAGTGGGTAAAACAATCAAATAGTAGAAAGCCAGAAATAATTAAAATGCTCGTAACAAATTAATTAAACAGAAAAGTATTCAGTTTTAAAGGGAGGGAAACACATGAATCTCCCAGGCTCTCCATTGTGCTGCATGAGTATGAAATGGCACACAGCCATGTTGACTAGAATCCTTCCTCCCTCATGGTACCTTTTCCTATTGTGTTGTGACTTTTTAGATTGCAAGTCTGATCTTTGTAAGCTGCTCTGAGAACCTCTTTTGGCTGAAGAGCAGGTTTAAAATGTTTCAGATATATAAATAAACAATAGATAGGTGGTGACGTTGCAATATCTGATTTCTCTGCATGCCTTGTATTTGAGACCAGTGGCTTCAGAGTCTTCGTGTGTGTTTTAGGACATATGAACCTAGCAGGTGTGTTCGGTGAAATGGATGAGAACTTTGTTGAACAACCTTCTCTGTGACAGAGATAAGAAGGCGATAGTCTTAACCCTTTAGTACTCAAACATCTATTAAAGACATAAATTTGATCAGAACTTAACTCTTTTTGTTCTGATGCTTATAAAACAGTCCTAGTGTTAAACACTTCAAATAATGGCAATGACCACCTTTGTAAATGTGCTTTGCCTCTGATTACTCTATGCTTTTGAAACAGGCAACCCACCCAAGTAATTTGTGGTTGTGTGTTTTATTTAAAACTTACCCTTTTTTTGTTAAATAATTTTTATTAATTCTCAATTACAAAAATCCAGTATATGCCACATTGTATCAATACCAGATTACCCCGCACATTTCTCATTAACATTAAAAAATAACCAAAAAGAACATATTTTTACTCCCTCCCCCCAAAAAAAATCCCCGGACTTCCTTCCACCCCCTCTTCTGGTTCTTTAATTAAACCAAATCATCTTACATTCCAGGTCCCTTTACTCAATTTCCCAACTGCTAAACAATTAAACTTGTGATATACTGCACAGATATTTCAAACATTCAGACCGCTTTATACATTACACATCTGTGCTTACAGACTATTTCCCCTTTAAAAATTATCCTTATTGTTGCTTTTTGCAAGCGTTTAATCCATGTCTGCTGATGTCCCAATTTATTTACAACCGCTGGCCCCTAAATAAAAACCATTTCCCAGACTGTTACCCATTCTTTTTTCTTACTTTGGCATATTTAAATCTCCTCTGGAAGAGGCTTCCCGTTAGGACAATTCCCAGTTTCAGCCCTCCTTCCTTCCAAATTTCTCTCTGTCTCCAAGGTTGTGATTTCACTCAAATTGCTCTATTTCCTTTCTGTACTCATATTTAAGGCTCCTCAAGAAGCTGCTACCAATTAGGACCATTTCCAATATTTAAAACTTATCCTAATCTAAGGTTCAGGGAAAGTTTCAGCTATTCTGTATCGATCCTATGGCTTACTAGCCAAGTTAGACAAAAGCAGCAAAGATAAGGTCCTATTAGAAACCTTGTCCACCCAACCTCATAATTTTTAATCCCATCTAATTAATAGTTTTCCTGTACTCTACTTCTGAAGACCCAAATGTGTCCTCCAATACTTAACACAAGCAATTTATGTCATTGACCATGTTTCCTTTAAACCATTCCTTTCAGATTACCCAGCAGTTGGAAGGTATCTGTTTGCAAGTAATAGGAACAGTGTTACAACAGCATGTTCTGGGTAAGAGGTCTCCCCACCCTTCAGCTATTACTTTGCATGTGGTGCACTGATTGGATCAAGCCAAGGTTCATGACATCTTTTTTTCCTGTTCCAGAATTCTATGAGGAAATCTTCTCCTTGGCTCACAGTCTGACTTGTCAGCAGGTCTCAGCACAGATGTGGCAGCTTTTGCCTCTGGTCTTTGAAGTATTCCAGCAGGACGGCTTTGACTACTTTACAGGTGAACTTCCTGCATAGCATAGGCAGGCCACTGCAGAACTGAATGATACTGATACCTTTTTGTACCTTGCAGCTTTTCATATTGACCAAGAGAACACATAAATAACAACTGTAATTAATCATCTTTTTACTGCAGATATGATGCCACTGTTGCATAATTATGTAACTGTTGATACCGATACACTCCTGTCTGATACAAAATACCTAGAAATGATCTACAGTATGTGCAAAAAGGTAAGTAACTCACTAATCCTCCTATCATTGTAGCTAAATTTATACCATCGGAGTGCTTTGATCTGCAGAACTGGCACTGCTACAGGTGCAAAAAAATATTTATTCCACATTTTTGAGAAATCAGTCATTTCATTTGGAGCTTCTTGCCCATTGACATAAGGCAAGTGCCTTTGCTCTGTTCTTTTCAGTGCCTGTTTAAATCATTGTTTAGACAAACCTATCCAGACACCTTTAATTTGAAAGTTTTTTAATACCTGTCTTTCACTAGGGTGTGTTTGGAATTTTAATGTTTTGTTTACTTTTGTAAATCACTTAGATGTTTTATTACACATAGCAGTAGATAAATTTTGCTGAATAAATAAATCCTGTAGATATCCCTTATGCAGTATAGATCTAGGAAAGAAAGACTTGTGCCTTTCCAGCAGCTAATCCAAATTCACATTCAAGAGACTGCAAGGTCCAGCAACTCTACACAGACCTAGATAAGCTAAATTATTGGGACCTCTGGAATTGCATGTCCATTTTGCTTAAAAAAATACGTGGTGGATCCAACTATACAGAGAGTCAGTAGACCAGGGGTGGGGAACCTGTAGCCTTCCAGATATTGTTGGACAACTCCCATCAGCTCCAGCCATCATAGCCAATGGTCAGATATGATGGGAGTAGTAGCTGAGCACCATATGAAGTGCCACACGTTTCCTAATCCTGTACTAGTCCATAGCCTCTTCTGAAAGCTCCCATGCAGTAACCAGTCATGCAGTTGTATTACTCTTCCCCTGAAGCAGATTAAAATGGCTACAGTCATGTGTGTGCATAGTTTCTAATCTGTGCCTAGTAATACAGTCCAATTGTGTTTTGCATTTAGACTGTGTTGCTCACATACAGCATGTGGTCAAAGAGCAACTTGAGATCATAGTACTGGTGCAGTGATGTCGAAAGACAAGCTTACCACTGACCAGCCTCCAAACTCTCAAACATGGAGATTGAATGTGGGCTGGAATCATACTAAGTGTAATTTAAACACATCTCTTTGTATTCAGGCTTTGGCTTACTACTGTGTGGTATTGTGGTTGGTTATTTATCATAACCTTGCCTTCAAAGTCAGGTTATTAAAAAGTGGTGGATGATTTTAGTTGGATTAAACATGAACACACCAGTTTCCATTACAGCTGTTTTTGTACATGACCTCACAGTGATTTTGCAGCTGAGCTGAACTGGAAAATTATTCATGCTGTGGCTGTCTACAGAAATCCCAGTGCCTTCTGAATTTCGCTCTGTTAAACAGATTATCAGAGCGGCTAGGTCTAAAACCTGTGGTTCCTTGCTAAGATGGGGCAGTTGTCTGTCCCCAACCTGCTCCCAAGTTTCAGGGAACTTCAGTGGAAAAGAAAGATTGAAATGTATGCACTTATATGCATGCAAAGGAGGTTCCTTGAATTGTGCCCTACATATCTATATACACTATTTTAAAACGGGGACTCCCAATTTTAATGCAAACATCAAAAACGAGCTCTTGCGTATATACTGGCTTTCATTTAACTTGGTATTGGTGCTGTCAGTTTTACTGGTACTAATAATGTAGTTTCACACTAAGGCATATTGTTACACATTAACATGCACACAGCTGCTTGCTTCTGTGTAGAAGAATCTCCAGAATGGGGCAACATTCCTGGGTGCTAGATGATTCAGTTTTTCCTTCCCCTTCCACAGTCAGGCACAAAATGCTATGTCTGTCTGAAATCTGGAAGAAGAATCTGTATATACAAGCCTGTTTCTTCACCTGGATCACCAGTGCTGGATTAGGCTTGCATTTTGTGTACCTTTGTGCTCATTTCAGTTGGCAGAACATTTTCTATTTCCACTGAAATAAATAGCAAACTATGTTGGTGAGAGGGACAGAAACACTCACATGTCATTAAGTTTTGTGATACGATAATTACGGCAAATGTATACCTAAGTTACAGTTGAATGTATAAAAACGATCAGTCACATTCAGATCCTTTACTGGCTAACCTAACCAGGAATTCAGTTTTGTGGATGTAAAATAATATTCCCTAGGTGAAATCCAACACTGCTGTTCTACTTGTAGAACAGCTTTTGATCTTGCAGAGGCACCCACCATAACAGAGAAGAGGAAACAGTCTTTACCAGTTTCCCCCTGCAGTCCACCACCACCACCCTCCACAGTGGTCTGGAGGGTCCCCCAATCCTCTGGAACAGATTTCTTTGGAAGTTATAGAAGGCAGCAGCAGGAAGGAGAAATCAGTGAAAATCCCCTCCACTTACATTAGCAGATATCAGCACTGGATCAAAGCCGTTCTGCAAATGGAACAGTAGTATTGGGATTTCAGCCAGTAACTTCTTTACGCAATTAATATTTTTTTCATATGGTTCTGATACACACAGTGCAGCCTGCCTGTGCAGATGGGAGGTAGAATGACAGAGTTTCCTTAACAATTTTGTTCCTTTGAAAATATAAAGAATAAATGCTACTAAATATCCAGTACTGAAACTGATGGGGTATAATTGTATTTCTTAGGTCCTTACAGGTGTGGCAGGAGAAGATGCAGAATGTCATGCAGCAAAACTGTTAGAGGTGATCATTCTACAGTGTAAAGGTCGTGGCATTGATCAGGTAAGTGGAATGGACTTTTGACTGCCAAAAATATATGATAGCTTCAACTCTCTAGAGGAGACACAGTCACCTACCCTTTTCATGTTTAATCAAAAGTAGTAGAAGAAGAAGAAGAAGAGTTTGGATTTGATATCCCGCTTTATCACTACCCGAAGGAGTCTCAAAGCGGCTAACATTCTCCTTTCCCTTCCTCCCCCACAACAAACACTCTGTGAGGTGAGTGGGGCTGAGAGACTTCAAAGAAGTGTGACTGGCCCAAGGTCACCCAGCAGCTGTATGTGGAGGAGCGGAAACGCGAACCCGGTTCCCCAGATTACAAATCAACCGCTCTTAACCACTACACCACACTGGCTCTCGCCAGTGATGTGCTGGGCTTTGGGAAGGAGGCCTGAGGTCTCTAACAGGGTTCTAGGGTCCCCCCACCTTCTTCCCAAAACCTAGTTTGTGCTTTCCCACCTTTGAGGAGGAGGTGGGGGGCTCTTGGATCCTGCCAAAGCCTTGCATCCCCTTCCTAAAGCCTGGTGCCTCGCTTAGCCAGCTTTGGGAAGGTAACACAAGGGCTGGGAGGTGTCAAATTTTGGGCTTGCTCCCCACCCCCGGTGTCAAGACAGTGTGCGGCCCATGAGTTCTGCATCAAAGTACTCTGATGGCCCACTTAGTATGAAAAGTTGGGCCGCCCTGAGTTAAAAGATGCATCTGGTTGGGGTTATTAATGAATGTAAAAATCGGGTTATTACTGAATGTTGTCACTATAAATGTTTTGCAGTGTATACCTTTATTTGTGGAAGCTGCTTTAGAGCGGTTGACCAGAGAAGTTAAAACAAGCGAACTGCGAACGATGTGCCTCCAGGTTGCCATAGCTGCTCTGTATTACAATCCTCATCTACTTCTGAATACTTTGGAAAATCTACGCTTCCCTAATAATGTGGAGCCCGTTACAAATCACTTCATTACACAGTGGCTTAATGATGTGGACTGTTTCTTGGGGTAAGTTTGTTTCTTGGGGATCACAGTTCTGATGCACGGTGCTCTGAAATTGTGTGCACTCAGTGCATGTCTCATCCACCTTTTCATATGGCTTCTGCAGGGCTACATCTATTGGGGATAAGTGAAAAGAAGCTTTATTGTACATTTAAGACCTATTTGCTCTTGCACTTCTCTAAATTAAGGTCTCCATTGGGTTGTATACTACTTGCCTTCTTTTTCCTAAAGCTGAAAAATAATGTAATATGAAATTTCCTCTTGCATTTCAGGCTTCATGACAGAAAAATGTGTGTCCTAGGCTTGTGTGCACTTATTGATCTGGAACAAATACCACAGGTTTTAAATCAGGTTTCGGGCCAAATCCTGCCAGCTTTCATCCTTTTATTTAATGGCTTGAAAAGAGCATATGCTTGCCATGCTGAGCATGAAAATGATAGTGATGATGATGATGAAGCAGAAGATGACGAGGAAGCAGGTAAAGCATTGACCCCTCTGGTAGCAGTTCACCAATATTTATCATGTTCTGGTGACAGCTTCTCAATGAACTTTCAATCCTGGTACGTCTGTCTTTTGATTTTCCTGTTCTTGTTTTTACCTCCTTGCTTTATTCATTCTCTTCCAAATAGGATTCAGATGTTTGTATCTTGGCCTGTCATTTCCTTCTTTTTCACCTGCTGTTTTGTTTCCTATGTTACACACTGTATTTGCTATATTTGCTATGGTCACTCATTCAGTGTTTCCTCTGCTTTATCCTTGTATTATGAACATTTTAATATCAGGCCAAGTAGCTTAGTTTTTCGTGCCAAGTATCTTTACTTTTCATTTTGCTTTTTGAAAAGCAAACCTAATCAGACTTCACTGTTGCTTCATTGCTCTTCACTTTGTCCAATTTTGTATTTTTTCTTTTATGTCTCTGTTGGGCTTTTATTTCTCATTTCAAGCTGTATAGTGCAAACTGAGAAAGTTTTCATCTAGGGCATTGTAAATGCATCAAATTTTCCCAGATAAAAGCAGAACAGAATCCTAGAGCCTAGCCCTAGGTTAAAATTGTGGAATTGTTATGAAGTACAAATATTACATAAATTAATGGAGAAAAGTACACTGCTGTTTTTTATCCTTGAGCCATATCTTCTTACAGAGGAACTTGGGAGTGATGAAGATGATATTGATGAAGATGGACAGGAATATTTAGAGATTCTGGCAAAGCAGGCTGGAGAAGATGGTGATGATGAAGATTGGGAAGAAGATGATGCTGAGGAGACTGCTTTGGAGGGATATTCAACCATTATTGACGATGAAGATAATCCTGTTGATGAATATCAGATATTTAAAGCAATTTTTCAGAGTAAGTTCAACTGCTGTTTATCTTGCATAGCAAACTGGTATTCTCTTTTTTGCGTGGGCGGGGACTCCCATTGAAATTGGGAAATGGGGTGGCAATTAGAGTTCAGGGAGGACTATGATTTAAAACTGCAGCTGAGGCATTCCATCACACACCAATCATGATATGGGTTAAGTTTGAAAGTGGGCAGTTTTGTTTGGTCTGTGAGTGAAGAAATCTTACTTTTTGTATTGTGGCACACCCTTGAATGTGTCTGTACCTCAGTGTGGTTCGGTTACCTCAATGAAGCAACCTAAGATAGTTGAGGATGGTTAACATTCTGCTTTTTCGTTATCTCGTACTCCACATGGAGGCCATTTTGTGACTGGTAATCCAAACATCCTCTCAAAATTCAAAATGTGCCCACTAATCCAAAAAGGTTGGCAACCCCTGTCCTATATCCCTTCCCAATTATTGAGGTGTTTGCAGGAGTCACTATTAGTGGTCTCTTATGACTCAGTTGCATGACCAGTTTCCATCAGGATGCGGGTGGCGCTGTGGGTTAAACCACAGAGCCTAGGACTTGCCGATCAGAAGGTTGGCGGTTTGAATTCCCGCGACGGGGTGAGCGCCCGTTGCTCGGTCCCTGCTCCTGCCAACCTAGCAGTTCAAAAGCTTGTCAAAGTGCAAGTAGATGAATAGGTACCGCTCCGGCGGGAAGGTAAACGCTGTTTCTGTGCGCTGCTCTGGTTCGCCAGAAGCAGCTTAGTCATGCTGGCCACACGAGGGAGCTGTACACTGGCTCCCTCGGCCAATAAAGCGAGAAGAGCGCCGCAACCCCAGAGTTGGCCACGACTGGACCTAATGGTCAGGGGTCCCCTTTACCCCTTCACCTATGACTCAGTTGCGTAAACAGTTTCCATCAGGAGCTGTGTGTTCAGTGTTGTGGGCCCAATCTGTGGAGCTCCCAATTAGCTGGGATCAGACATTCCGCTCTATGTTGAACTTGTGGTCCTTGGTGGAGACTTTCTTTTATTTTA